TTTTGAAGAGCTTTTATAATACAAAAAGATATGTAATAACTTGTGTTCGTACATACTGACACGATCATTAAACAACTAGTGGCTAAATAGCTTTTAAAAATCTATTGACTGCTTTGTACTCACAAATATGCCATTTTCAGTTTCAATCCAGTTATAAGACATTCTATGACTCATACCAACAGGAAATATATATGCAAATTTGCAGTATTGCTTGAGTAAAGGTTCTCAATATTATCTAAGTCAATCCTTGTACACAAATACTCTGTACTTTATTTACTTGTTTTCATGTGATGACAAATACAGATGTTAAAAAAAAGCGAAATGCAGACTTGGTGCCAACAGAGAACTAAGTCCTTGAAAAGATGACCCCCTCAACTTCTCTTATTATACTTAGCAAGTGAACATCTTGCAATGCTCAATGACAAAAGAAAGTAAGCTTACTGTGTTTAAATACCGTGGCCGGCCGTGGCCTGGTATTCTGAACAAGCTCCTAGTATTTTATGTGTATAACACGGCTATGCATATCAGTACCTCTTAGCACTAGTTGCACTGATTTCACGGTGAATTCAAAATTTTCGGCGAACGGGGGGGGTTACCTTCAGTGCTTTTCATGATTGAAGCATTGGACAAAGCGTTTCTGTGCAGACTTTTCTCGGTCAGTTGCAACAGGATGCAAGTGATTACGAACAAAATACACTAGAATACACTTATCAACGGACTGAGACTGTCTTTTTCCCTGAAAATTTGACGGACTTTGTTTTTCAAAAGCTTTCGGAAGAGATTCAAAGCAAAATCGTATATTTCTGCAGCGTAATTAACGAATATTCACTCCGCAGTCGAGATGTTCACTCCACGCCATCTTGACACAAATGATCAGATTTTGAATACCGCCTATGATGCTTAGCGATGGTAGTGCGCACACCACCTGATAAGATCCTAAATGCGTTTAAAAACACCTTTTCAGTGTTACTACTACACTGAATTGGTTTATATTTTCTTTCTCTGTTTGTCGTTCCTTAGAGAGACATTGTTTTGTTGTATAAAAACGTTGATGGAGGTGACTTTTTACTTTTATGAAGAGCACAGAAATTTAAAAACGTCCGTTTTCGAGGATATTTCGCGATCTAGAAGGCTAAAAGTTAGGAAGACACTCGCTTTTTTCTGCTTTCTCTTTTTGTGACTAACATACACATACAGTAAGTTGCCTCTAATTTTAGCCCTGGGCTTAAGAATTGAATATTTTTTTTTTTGCCTTGCCGGTGTAGATGGGCCTATAACGGGGAAGTTTTATACATGTTCATTGTTATAAGTAGAGGTGGAGAGGGGGGAAGAGCTTATAAGCGGCAGTTTACAGTAAATTCTTCAGTCTAATTGACCGTCCCTCAGTATAGTGTACAAAGTAAAAATAGTATTCTCTCCTCTGCATCTAACCGTTGCAATTTTGGAGATAACCTTATTCTCTCTCTTTCTCTCAATTCAGAAACGTGCTTTCCACCCTGGACTGAGTTCAAGAAACGTTGTTACTTGGTGATAGATGTGCTTTCGTACGGGTGGAAGGACGCTTATGCTGCGTGCCGGTCCCTTAATGGTTCGCAAATGATAACAATATTCTCGGAGGAAGAAAACCATTTCGCCGCTAATCTTGCTAAGGTATTTACTTTGATTTATTTATTTTGCCGCAAAAAAATTCGGTCTGTGTACAAAAAGAAAAAAAAAAACCGCGTTAGGAATATCTATCATTCTTAGTACTATTTCAGTTTATTGTTCAAGCAGCTCCTAAAGCTTTTGTAGACATGATTGCATTTGGTTTCGTAACATCGAGAAAGAAATCAAAGTCAAGTCGAGTTTTGGAGAGAGAATCTTGCCCTTCAAGTTTAAGTCAAGAGAGAGCAAAGCTAGTTTTTCTTAAAAAAATAAATAAATAAAATATTTGAAAGCTTAAGTTTGAAAGATACAAGGAAAGCTGTTAGTAGTGCAAGTCTCGCTAGCTTGGAGATATATATATATATATATATTTTTTGTCAAAGGCGCTGGTGCTATTATGCTACTTTTTCGTTTGGAATACAAAACGAGTGCATGTTATAAGTCATAATGTAAATACTCAACACGTCAAAATTGCTAGGAGAGACAGGCCACACATCTTAGCTTCACACCGGTGTGAAACCTTTGAAAACCTTTTACATATTGATATTGCTCCAGTGAGGAGAAGTCTTTCGCGATTTTACACTAAAAAAATTGAACTATGATTTAAAATTATCAGTATAGCATCTATGTAGGGGACCAAGATGGGCTCGATACAGATTTTGTTCAGCACAGGAAAAATGTGTAAGTTTAGCAGAACCTTATACAACAGACAGTTCATTCGGTTCGCGTGTATTCGTGTTGAATTTGTTGTCCGTTTTATACGATATCAAAATCGCGTGAAAGTAGTTACATTTTCCAAAGCTGCTTAGTATCAGCTTTTTTAAAAGAGATATTAAAATATCTCTGTATTGTTGAT